GGGGGGGGGGGGGGGCATCACCCGCTGCAGTCTTTCATCACCAATTTCCTTCTTTTTTTTCCTGCAGTGTCAAATGAAGCAATTTTTCGGTATTCCTGTCTCTCCTGAAATCCCTCGGAACACTCACTTCCTTCAAGTTCTTCATCTTCTTCTTCTGCCCACCATTTCGTCCCAATTTCCATTTACGTCAGCGGACACTGACAACCAAACTGTAAATGTGAAGGCCAATGAAAACGAAAAAAACGAAGACAAATAAAAAACAAAGGGAAAAAAAAGAAATTAAAGGAAAAAAGGAGATGTCGACGAAAACGACGACAAAAAGAGGGAAACAAAAAAAAAAAAACAGCTGAGAAGAAAAGTAGGAACAATTTTTTCCCACACGACTGTTCCTTTTTCTTTCCTTTTTGTTTTTTTTTTGCCCTTTGTCTCGTTGACATTCATCACAGAATTCACATCGACAACATAAAAAAAGGAATCACCGTCATCATTATCAGCCAACACTACCATTACCACTACAATCATCACCATAAACTAGAGCCAATAATAACGGCAACATTCACAATAGTAATGTGCAGATTTGTTCGTTGGACAAAGTCGATACGGTTCTTTGCATATCATAGCGTCGGCCGCAACAGCAGCAGCAGCAATTGCAGTACGAGAAGGACGAGGAACGATAGCATAGCAAAGGAGAATATCGGTACATCAGCGATAACCCGCACAAAGCCAATTTCTGCCGCCCCCTCCGCTTCCTTGTACCCAGGGTCCTCGAAGAACAAGAGCAGCAGCAGCACTGACAACAACTATAGAGATGTTTGCTGTCAGCGGATTTTTCTGTGAACTCAAACTGATTTCCATACAACCGTTAAGGGATCAAAAACAACACAACACAACAACAAAAAAAAAGAAGATGACACAAGAATTGACGGAGAAAAAAGGCAACAATCAACGAGCATCACTAATCTCATTAATGCTGTTGGTAGTTTCATGGTTAAAAAAGGAAAAAAGCAAGAAAAAAAATAAAGGAGAAGAAAACAATCCGACAAAGTGTCAATTATCTATTTTTTTTTTTGTTAGTTCATTCCGTCTCCCTCTCATCCTCTTTTCCCCTTCTCCTCCTTAGTTACCCCTTTCTAAAAACTGTTTTTTATCTTCCTTAATATTCCGATTTTTTCTTTTCTTTGCTAATATGAGCAAAAAAATTACTTTTTCACAATCAGTTTTATATCTTTTTTTTTCTTCTCCTTTTTCTTCTTCACCAAAAAAAAGACATATCAAAATAGTGAGAAAAAAAGACATCAATGATTTTATAAACGAGTAGTAATAAATAAACGGTTTTTCAATTTTCAAAATAGGAGAGACAACAACAACAACAAAAAATACCACAGTAATAGTTCAAGAAAATTTTTTTTTGATAATAAAATTTCAAAAAAAAAGCAGAAAATTCTTCTGAATTCATTAAGCTACAACTGTTGTTTCGTTTCTCTTTTTCCTTCTTTCTTCTTCTTCTTCTTCTTCTTCTTACCATCGTCCTTACTTTTCAACCACTTTGTTCTTTTTTCAACAGGTGAAAAAAGTTTGATTTTATGCACTTTTAATTCAAGCATCTTAATTTCTTGTTCCTTTATTCCTCTTTTTTCTTTTCAGTTAGTTGTTATTAAGAGGGTAAACAAATACGAAAATAATGAAAACTGATCAGTGCTGTACACAAAAAAAATTTTTTTTCTCTTCAATTGAAATGCAATATATTAGCAGATGAAAACAAACTGTAACAGTGCCAAAAAAAAATCGTAGACTATTGAATAGCCAGTGGAAAATAATTTAACCGAATTCAGTAAACCCAATAATGAATCAGACAAAAGCTGCTGCTATTTGCAAATACACACAAACACATTTATAATTTCAGTATTTTGGCTGAAAATTACTGTACAGCAAAAAAACAGTTTTTGTTTTTTCCTTTCAACGTTAGCTAAGGCAAATATAAGAAGAAAAAAGAAGATGGAAGAAAGAAACAAACAAACAATAATTCATATAAATATAAAGTTAAAAATCTGTCAATTTCAGAACAAAAAAAAAAATTTCCTTGTATTTCCCACATTTTTCAACACAAATTTTTGTCTTCAGTTTTGTCGATGATCGATCGTCTGCACCATTGATGTAAAAAATTCTTGCCTCTTCTCCCCTCTCCAATCCCTCCACCCTTTCATCAATCGGAAATTGCTTACAGAATTTCATTGCTGACATCTCAATGGAGGCACAAAAATAAAAATAAAATAAAACAAAATTTTTCAAATTTTCAACATTATTTGATCAGAAGAAAAAAACAACCAGATGAAAAAGATAATGACGATGATGATAAAAAATGAAAAAGAATTCGTTTTCCTCTTTTAAATAGGAATAGCAGATGTAAGGTGAGCATAAATACGTGGTATATACAACTGAAAAGTAATCCTATTTCGTCCGTAACAATTGCAAATGTCCATTTATCGGCTGGTACTCAGCGTTTGGCACCTAGACAAGCTAGTAGGCAAGCAAATAAGTATTAAAATTGGCAGTAGTGTATGCTAACTGTCCTTAGTACCGAGAAGGCTTTTACTGTGCATGAAAAACAAAATGACAGGAGCAGCCGCGTTATATCTGCACATTGGACAATTCCAGCGCTTCTCAACGTCATCCCCATCAATATCCTATGACTTGTTATCCCGCGAAATACTGTGTGCCCCGTTTTGTATGTATTTGTTTAAACGCATATGTCCGCCTACTTGACAGGTAACCTGGCATGATCAGCAGCAACAGTTGCTGACAATACAGTCATCAATTACTGTTAAAACAATAAAGACGATAAAACAAAACGAAAAAAGAAAGAAAAATAAAGGAATCGCTGGCAATGAGTGTGAGTTTCTTCTGTTTCTTCAACACCAGATGACAACTGAAAAACGGTAGCTGCAGCGGGTAAGTTATAGCCTTATGTTTAAAGACAAAAATTATTATACATTACACACATATGTTGTGATGTCACACCCGCTGGCAATTAAATTATACTTGTCAGCAAAATAATATTTTAAAAATAAATAATAAATAACAAAAAATTATTACTGCTATCATTAATTTTTTTCCTTCTACAGCAGCCTGAATCAGGAGAAACAAGGCAAAAAAAAAAAGAAAAAAATTTATGAATAAAAGTAAATTTTAGAATTACAAATAATTACAATTAAAAAATTAAAAATATCAATTTTATTATTATTATTATTACTTTTACTACTGCTTTAACTAAATGTTTTTTCTCCTCTTCTTTGCCATTCCGTTTTCTTCGGAGTACAAAAATTAGTAACCCTTTCAACATCTGCCTTGCTTTTTTTTCCCTTTCCTCTTTCTTTCTATATTTTCAGTAATTATTTTCAGTTCAAAACGACACATAGTGGACTGCCAACAGTGAAACAGTGAAAGAGGCATAGAAAAAAGTAAATCGAAAACAGTGTTGAAATAATAAAACGTTTAGAAATCTCATCAAAGCAAACAAATGGAGTATCAAAATTTTTTTGCTTGAAAACTTTGTTTCTTTTCTACTTTTTCTTTTTTGACTGAGTTGACACAGTTGTAGTGTGCTAACGTTTAGCGGAAAAGTAAACTGTTGCCTCGAATAAACCGCTAACACCAAAACAGCAACTGTATCCGCCGTGTGAATGTGTCAAGACTGCTGCTGCTCACTGCGACTACCACTGCTACCGCTGCTGTCGCCTAACAGCAGAGGAGGGTTGATGATGCTTGGGAAATTGGGTAGAGTCTGCGGTAATAAGAAGTTTTCCGTAGAGCTTAGCTAGCTAAGCAAATAAAACATGTTGAATTTAGTGCTTCCAGTTTTACACTTTTTGTATTTT